AACTCTTAGAAAAATATCTTAGCTTTATAAAATTGTTATACGGAAAGCAAAGAAAAATTTCTTTATTTTTCTTGCCATCTCTGAAATTCGCATTATAAACAAATTTTAGAGATAGTAAAACCAATTGACATAAGTCTACCACTCTGAGAATCGCTTATCAAAACCTGACAAGCAACCCCAGGAACTTTTCATAAGCGATCTGTTCCGGATTTTTTTTCTTTTATTTTTTCCGCACTGTGAGCACTAGGAGAGTGTCACATTTTTGGACCCGGATTCGATCCCGGATCACCCAGAGCGGTAGGCTGCCACCTTGACCGCTCGGCCATATGGCCGTCGATCTGTTCGAATGTGCTAAGTGCCGTTCCTCACTACCCAGTCGTTTTATTGGGGATCTTTGCCGAACTTACGATGGATATGATTAGTCATGAATAGGACTGAAAACGACAATAATAAAAAAGAAGTAAATATCAGGAGGATGAAATTATTTTTACCTGTTGGTTTACTTGTCTGATATTATGTGTAATATTCAATTATGTATGATATCAGATTCTGATTAGTATATTTATCAATATCAAGAAGACTGAACGAGAACGATTTATAGTCGAAATACATAAATACAAACATGAGATAGTTGAGAAATTAAATATGTTTAGTTATTTAAATGTCTGCATAATCGATTCCCCCAATATGACGATTCAGTTTTTAATTTTATTTAAATCTCGTAATTCTTTTTCAGACCAATTTCGAAACCGATAACTTTTTATGATTGATCAATATTTAGTTTCTATCTCTCATTCATAATGGCTGCTTTAAAACTCAATAAGAATTAGACTTACTGAAAATTGGCGAATTTGAAACTATGGTGTAAAGTAGACCATTACGTATTAGTTTCGTACGAAGTCAAATCAATCCTAATTATATCCTGTATCAATTATATCCTGTATAATATAGTTTGCAATATCCATGGGCGTAGCCAGAGTTTTGTTATGGGGGGGCCTAGTGGAGACCAACCTGACACAAAATTGAATTATTTCAAATTATTGTTCATTATTGGGCACCGAGCAAGCCGTTCATATTGCAAACAAAATGTACAANTAAATTGAATCTTTATTATTAATATTTTTTAATAGACACAGTTAAATCTCGATACAGTGCCACAATTTGTTTGCCTCTGAAATTAGCACTAAATCAAATGTGGCTCTAAAGTGAAAAACCTGAAATAATAACAATTGTATATAATGATGAGATCTATACACAATTGTGTTTGAAAGTCACGTAATTTGATTATATCGTTTTAAATGCAAAATTGGTACATTTATTAATTTAAAACACTTGGGTTTCTATATGATATCTGTGGAAAAGATCCGTTCACAAATATTCATTGACTTATTGACGATAACGTTATATCGAGGATTGGCTGTATATTTTTGTCTTACAATAAATATTTGTTTGTTTGTTACTTATTTATTGAAAGGCGTCTATTCGCTTGTTATATGAATTTAAATTACACAAGGATGACCTACGTAATAAGGTATTATAAATTGAATAGTTACTAGATGCATCATCGCACCATGAGAGCGCCTCAGTTTTCTTATTATGGGAGTGCCTAATTTGCAATACGATCAATCAGCATAGATAAGAGATAAGAAATGACATAACGATTCATCCGTGAAAAATGATGAGCTTCCGGATCGACTTCTGACCCGGATCTCTCTCTGCAGTAGGTGAACCCCTTACTGCGCGGCCACCCGACTGATGATTGGCTTATACAGAAGAGATTCTAATACAATATAAATATTCTTTACTGTAATTTAAACAGTAAAGAATATTTCATTTAAATAGCAGATTCTCGATATTTTTGGATGATTCTAATTTTTATTTACATATTTTTCTTTGTTCAGAAATTCCGTTGATGCTGAAAACACGTTATCGAAAATGACCTCGGACCAGTAACTTGTGGACCTCCAGGTGTTCGCGAACCACAGTTCAACAATCGCTATTAAAGACCATTAAACTATAACAGCAGGTATCATTTTTGAATAAATCTTAATATATTTGATCATGCAGAAAAATATTCACTAATAATTTTAATCAAAGAGTAATCGATTAAAATTAAAATATTCTTTTTGAAATTTAATTCTGTTTATTTGTAACAAACACTATTTTTATAGTGTATTTATCAGACACTATAAAGATAATTTAACAGAAAATCTATGATATTGGAAACAAATAATTTCAAGAAAATTAATACAGTGTGTAAGATGAAATTAATAACGATATCACTGCAGAAATAGTATCGAAAAATTACGACTGAAAACTTTTTCGAACAAATTGTATAACAATTTATGTTATCATCGTTTCGATACTGCAATTTTTTATAATAAAATGGTTGAAAATTTTAATAAAATAACAATTATACGAACAAGTGAATAAAAGACAAATCAGTATTGAAATTTAAATCTTTTAATTAAAAAAATAAATAAAAATAGAATAGACCACTATACTCTTGTACTGTACATTACAAGTAGAACCATTCTTAGAGTTAGTATGGATGATCCAATCCCTTGAAACATTAAACCTAACATACTTGATTAGAATTTGTAAAGAAGTATATAAAAATGAAGACTCTTTTCTTACACAGTGTACTCCAGAATAAAAGCGTCAGTCTTTTACTCTGTATACACTGTGGACAACCCATGACCCATGAGTTCGCGCTTGACCAACGTGCTGGTTACATGGAATTTCCAACAACTCTTCACGTATCCAAAGCCTAAATATGGGCCAGTTTTCCATAGATAGGCACCCTTCTCTCGAGAGGCACCCTTCCTTGGTAAATCGCCCAAGTGTTGCGTTTCCTTAGCCCATCAATCCAACCTAATCTAGGAAACAACAGAATCGGATGAGCAACTTTTCAGGAATTCTTCATGAGCGGTCTGTCTCGGATGTCTATCCCTTACCATCTGACTACCCTCATTGTGGACCTGACTGAACCCACGATGAATTTTGAAAAATGGTCCTCTTAGTATCCACAAGGTAAAAAAAACAGCCAAAAATGAAAAATAAAATATACTCACTATACTGTATAAATATAGTCACAGTTATATTAATCTATTCAGTATATTTTATAGTTTTGAGAGAATTTAAAATTTGATGGTTTTCATTATAAAAATACAGTATTTTATTTTAAAATTTAAGGAAAATATTTTAAAACATTGTTAAAAATAAAATAGTAATTGTAATAACGTCTATATTTTTAATAATTAAGTTCAAAAAATGATTCAAAAACTTTTTAAAATAATGTCCTTTTATTTTGAAGCACGCAAGATATAAATTATTCCATAAAAAGTTTCTTAAAAATAATCTTAATTATAATCAATTTCTTATCTGGTTATTATTCCATTTAGATTTTCCTTAATAGGTTAAATGTTACGTATATCATTTGGAACTTAGCAGCATTATCATTATGATTATAGGCTTTCATTATTTAAATAACTTAAAAAAGATTTTTTTTTATCACCAAATTATAACTTTATTTTATTATCATTTTAAAGATTGATTTTTAATGTAGATAAAATTTAGTTATACTTAAAATTTTTCTGTCTTTTACGAGACAAAAAAGTTTTTCTAAATTAGATATTTTAGACGTCAAGAGCTCGGGGGTAATAGTGTGCTATATAATATTTTATCATATATCTGCAGGAATTGAGAGACTTGAGATAAAGTCCGGGCCAGTAACAAAATGAAATTCATCAAGGATGAACTAATTTTATTTGGTTTATTCATATATTTTTTATATGTGAATAAAACAAAATATAAAAATAAATTTTTTTGCTATTTTATCAAAGAAAACTTTCATTTTTATTACTTTATCTCCGACACAGAGAGCCTTTTTCTGTGTCGGGAAACCTGACCGTCTGTATAGGCTATCAGTTAGTATCAATTTTTATTGAACTGATTGAGAAAAAGACTATTGAAGATATAAAATTAATAAGGAAAATATGTTTTGTATCGTAAATTTTTTAAAATTCTTTGCTCTTAGTTAAACTAATTTTATCGAGGCATATTAGTGAATTACGGAATTATTTCTGCACTTTTTATTTTATCTTTATTAAATGTTATATTAAAAAATACAATCTATAATCAACTTTCAGAAAAAATTATATAAATCTGATTCTTTTCAAAACAAAGGTCATTCACTATTGCGGTCAAATTTAAGATTTCGATGTCAATAGACTCATAACCTAGTTAAAAAGAAGCTCCTAAATTTTCACTGAATTTCTACAATTTTAGATAAATATTATCATATATTTATCAATTTTTTTTTAAAAAAAATATCTAATAATGATAAATTCATAATAATTATAGTACTAGAGTCCATTTTTTTTAATCAAATCTCTAAATTAATGTGATAAAGAAAGGCAAATTTAATGATTCTCCTTAAATTAAATACACAAAACTTAAGTTAGGAAAATTTTAATAAGGTTTTAAAAGACTTTTATAGTGTAAAAGAATGTAAAAAAAAATCATATAGATTATTATATACTATATACAGTTATATAATATATAAACTACGATAAAAATATAATTATATACAGTTTTAAAAATCTTAAAACTGTATTTATTTAAGACAAAAATATATAACGACCTCGATATATGACAAGTCAGGAATTCCTAGTTAGGTATCTTCTCAGCAGGACTTCGTTTTTTCACAAAGAAAAGTACGGTTTGAATTATCAAACTGTTTAAAAAGATTTGATTTAGAATAAATCTTACATTAATCACACACTACATTTACTATGATAACGCAGATAATGATACAGGAAACGAGAAAAATAAAGTCTGGAAGGTGACATCTAATCACATAAATGTTTGTTTTGACAAGTACCGAATTTAAAAATATTTCAGAGAGATGTATTATTTAAAATTTCAAATTTAAGCCGAATAATTATATTAAATAGGAAAAATTATATCTTAGAAAAGAATGAGTCTACTGCACATTTATCGAGAAATGTATCGTGACCCCTCGAACCCAACCAGCTGCCTTCTCAAGGCAGGATCGTGGAAGAAACCAGCCGCCACCGCTCCCAAACGCACCGCCAACTTTCCTTTACCTCAAAATGGACTCGCCTGCGGGAATGAGATGCTGAAGCTTATGTGTTGATTGTTGAAGAGGGAGAGTTCTGTCGAGCTGTGTAGGTTTAGGAAACCAGTGATTCTGGGTTGGATATTTATAATCACCACCCTACAAAGCTTCACAGATGGGTAAGTTATAATTTCATTTTAGAATCATATTCATTGATCGCTAACGGGAATAAATAATACGACCCTCTTATGTAGCGAAGACAATTCAGACTCTTCAGATCGATTTGTTTTTTTTGTTTTGTTAATATTTAATAATATAATTATTATTAAAGTATTTTCGTTATTTGTTTTCGAATGTTGTTAGATACACGTAGGTTGCTAAGCATGAAGTGTTGTCTGATAGCGGGTCATGTCTCTGCTAAAAATAACAGGGTTGTTCCACCCTCCTCGAGTGTTTTCCTTCTCTAGGGTGCTGCTGGAAAATTCTTTCCATTTTCTATGCATTCGTTTTTTTTTTAATTACTTAAATAATTAACACCGTGCGTGTCAGACTAATTAAAACAAATTAATATCGTTTTTCGAACTTTATGATCTCCCGAAATGGCGAAAAAGTTTAAAAACAAGAACATTTATTATATATGATAAGATGTGTTAAATTATATATTGACATTTTTATTGGGTATTTTAAAGATTAAGAAAAGAATTCGCGATCTATGACCTGTGAATAGATTATTCGATAAAAGTGTAAAGAATTCTCGATAACTCAGCATATACATTTAACTTAAAATAAATGATTTAAATAAGCAGTAAAGCAATCCGTTAGATTGACAATAGAATATCGTATTTCGGCTTAATTGGAATTTTAAGTAGTCGCACTCTAATAGCATAACAAATTTGTAATACGTTCAGGAATGNATAATAAAATGGTTGAAAATTTTAATAAAATAACAATTATACGAACAAGTGAATAAAAGACAAATCAGTATTGAAATTTAAATCTTTTAATTAAAAAAATAAATAAAAATAGAATAGACCACTATACTCTTGTACTGTACATTACAAGTAGAACCATTCTTAGAGTTAGTATGGATGATCCAATCCCTTGAAACATTAAACCTAACATACTTGATTAGAATTTGTAAAGAAGTATATAAAAATGAAGACTCTTTTCTTACACAGTGTACTCCAGAATAAAAGCGTCAGTCTTTTACTCTGTATACACTGTGGACAACCCATGACCCATGAGTTCGCGCTTGACCAACGTGCTGGTTACATGGAATTTCCAACAACTCTTCACGTATCCAAAGCCTAAATATGGGCCAGTTTTCCATAGATAGGCACCCTTCTCTCGAGAGGCACCCTTCCTTGGTAAATCGCCCAAGTGTTGCGTTTCCTTAGCCCATCAATCCAACCTAATCTAGGAAACAAGAGAATCGGATGAGCAACTTTTCAGGAATTCTTCATGAGCGGTCTGTCTCGGATGNATCAGGGAAAAGGGAAATTCTTTCTATTTTCTGACACCTCCAAGCTTCTAGTGATCAATTAATATACACTTTATATAAAATACAATTAAATTTATAATAATTATATTAATGACTTATACTGTGCTATACTGGAATAATACTTTTTACAGTTTATTCACAAAAAGCAAAGTTTTCAATGGACTCCTATTTTAATTCTCTATAGAATATATCTGTTACAAACATATGTTGAATACTATGTACTGTACTTAATAGTAACACAATAAAGATAGATCTTTTGAATCAGTTTCCGAAAATAGATTAGAAAAATTGTAAGCTGACAATTTCGTAAAGTAGTAGAATGTATATTGTTATCTAAAGTTATTTGCAAAATAAAACGTTATAAAGAAATAAAGAAAAAAGTAATTTTAGATTAAGATGGAATCTTTTCATGTCAAGAAATATATATAGTAGAGCTAGATTATTGTTTTCATATCTGAAAGCAATAACCTAGCTCTGAATGTTTTGAATGTTTTCATCCATAATCGTACAAATATCGATGATTTTTCTACAGGAACATTCAGAATATTCAGAACAAGATATTTCAGAATATGGATATCAATTAAGATCGATAAGATATAAATATTCTCAAATGTCTTGGACGAATTTTGAAATATTATTTCAATGACTAAACTCAGGTTTTTTGTATTGTTATCTACGAGTTAATAGCATTAACAACAGATATAAATAAGCAGAATTTAAGAAAAATAACAAAAATTTTATAAATTATTAATAATATTTCATGCAATTACTTATTGCTATAAATGTCTGGAATAGATAATATCTCTATAATAATTCTACAATATTTATTATTATTATTATTATTATTATTCTGTGATGCGAATTCACTGTAAAGAATAGTAATCAACGTTAAATTCTTTTTGAAACTTATTTTAATCTTTATAATAATTATACACTAAATAATATAGGTTAAAGTTATATTAGTTGAGATAAGATATTAATCTTCTTAAACATACTTTCTTTTGAAGTTACTTTTGAACTGGATGCCTGCAAATAAATCTAAATATTGTAATTATCATTTTCTTATTCTTTTTAGAAGCAAGTATGAACTGATCATTCACCGATAATAATGTGACCTTCTAATACAATTGTCACAAAGGTTAATTACACAAAATAACAAAAGATTTGTTCATATTATAGCATTGCTTTCGGAATATATTCGTATGATAGTGTTTTAAGTAAGAAAATAAGTTATAATTTTGAGATAAGACGATGGATTTGGCACATCTTTCATTGCATGAAGAATAAATAAATAATTCATTAATCACTTTATATACGAGAAAGATAATGATTTCGTCTTCTTACATACATTCGGAGAACAATATAATGTTATAATAACGAAAAATAATCTATTATATTACTAAGATCACTTTTGATTTAGTTTCAAATCAGATTAGCATTGTCATATGACTTTGTTTGATTATTCGAGTAGATTAAGCTCGTTGTTGCAGAAAAATATTAATATATCATGTTAAAACAGTATCAGATATGTCTTTTCCCCCTGTGTGATTGAAGTTACTAAAAAACAAAAAAGCCAAAATTTAAGCTTAATAAATTAAGAGGAATGTATTATTTTTTTATTATTTCTTTTGTTTTAATGCATAAGAAATGCATGATAATAATGTGGAAAAAACAAGAAAAACTTACGATCGAGAATACTAAGTAAAATATGTCATATTCACTCACATAAAGCATGAAAGCAATTATTGTCGTTGATTATTTACATTATTGATTATTTTATACTACAAATTCATCACTTTGAAAGCAAAAGTGTAGAATAAATCCATGAAGTATTTCAGGTAAATTTTCGTAATTATAATCCAATATTAAGAAGAAAGTTGCTTGAGAAATTATAACAAATAAGAAAATTTATTTTGTGGATAATATCTTAAAATTAATACTAATATTTAATACTTTCAAAATAAAAACAANATTTCCTGGGGAGGGCACCAGGTTCCCTGGGAGGGGCCGTGCCCACCCAGGCTCCCCCCTCGCTACGCCCATGGCAATATCAAGTTGAAGATTGAAAACTGTTTAAGTATAAGCACTTTTAATTTTAAATTGAATCTTTATTATTAATATTTTTTAATAGACACAGTTAAATCTCGATACAGTGCCACAATTTGTTTGCCTCTGAAATTAGCACTAAATCAAATGTGGCTCTAAAGTGAAAAACCTGAAATAATAACAATTGTATATAATGATGAGATCTATACACAATTGTGTTTGAAAGTCACGTAATTTGATTATATCGTTTTAAATGCAAAATTGGTACATTTATTAATTTAAAACACTTGGGTTTCTATATGATATCTGTGGAAAAGATCCGTTCACAAATATTCATTGACTTATTGACGATAACGTTATATCGAGGATTGGCTGTATATTTTTGTCTTACAATAAATATTTGTTTGTTTGTTACTTATTTATTGAAAGGCGTCTATTCGCTTGTTATATGAATTTAAATTACACAAGGATGACCTACGTAATAAGGTATTATAAATTGAATAGTTACTAGATGCATCATCGCACCATGAGAGCGCCTCAGTTTTCTTATTATGGGAGTGCCTAATTTGCAATACGATCAATCAGCATAGATAAGAGATAAGAAATGACATAACGATTCATCCGTGAAAAATGATGAGCTTCCGGATCGACTTCTGACCCGGATCTCTCTCTGCAGTAGGTGAACCCCTTACTGCGCGGCCACCCGACTGATGATTGGCTTATACAGAAGAGATTCTAATACAATATAAATATTCTTTACTGTAATTTAAACAGTAAAGAATATTTCATTTAAATAGCAGATTCTCGATATTTTTGGATGATTCTAATTTTTATTTACATATTTTTCTTTGTTCAGAAATTCCGTTGATGCTGAAAACACGTTATCGAAAATGACCTCGGACCAGTAACTTGTGGACCTCCAGGTGTTCGCGAACCACAGTTCAACAATCGCTATTAAAGACCATTAAACTATAACAGCAGGTATCATTTTTGAATAAATCTTAATATATTTGATCATGCAGAAAAATATTCACTAATAATTTTAATCAAAGAGTAATCGATTAAAATTAAAATATTCTTTTTGAAATTTAATTCTGTTTATTTGTAACAAACACTATTTTTATAGTGTATTTATCAGACACTATAAAGATAATTTAACAGAAAATCTATGATATTGGAAACAAATAATTTCAAGAAAATTAATACAGTGTGTAAGATGAAATTAATAACGACATCACTGCAGAAATAGTATCGAAAAATTACGACTGAAAACTTTTTCGAACAAATTGTATAACAATTTATGTTATCATCGTTTCGATACTGCAATTTTTTATAATAAAATGGTTGAAAATTTTAATAAAATAACAATTATACGAACAAGTGAATAAAAGACAAATCAGTATTGAAATTTAAATCTTTTAATTAAAAAAATAAATAAATAATGAGTATTCGTGTGTAATCTACGTTACAAATCTTAACTATTTATCAATAATATTAATAAAATGTCAATGAATTTTCTAAAAATAGATTGCATATATCCACACAAGTATCAACTTTTGCTGTTTTTTCTTGTATTTTTCTATATATAAAAGTTGTTGTATCACTCCCGGATATAACTTGATTATTGTTTTA